TTTTAATTATTTTATTTTTAAGTTCACTTAATTACATTGAAAGAACAATATAATATATTTTTTAGATATTCACTTTTGATTAAATAAATATTTAAGTAAATTAAAAATGAATTAAACATATTAATTCAAAATTCAAAATATTTTATTTCATAATAATTGAACAAAAATATTTTAAAAATCTTCAAATTCAAATTAGTTATTTTAATTAATATAATGTAAGAATTCTTTTTGCAAAAGCGAATAATATTTAATTCATTAAAAGAAAAATATATAAAAAAGATTTTGCTTTAAAAATGAAAATAATTACATAAAACAGTTAGTCATACTTTGACATTTGTTATCGAAATACAAAAATAGAAATTATAATTTCAAAAACATGTATAGTATTTAAATTTGCTAGAATTATTTATTACTGGTCAAATACAGTTTTTGAAATAATAAATATCACGTAATAGTTAAAAAAGACTATCCTTTATATTCAGAGTAATTTTAGAATTGAAAATCAAAAACATTTGTATACGTAATAACCGGTCAAAACATGTTAATTTATAAATAATATTTATATTATTTATACACGTTACACATATTCTATTGTTTAAATAATGTTGATATAAACATTATCGATATATTATAGGACCATAATATTAGATGCAACTTATTGACGAAAAAAAGACAAAAGATAATCTATGAATGTGTACATTTGTTAATCAACTATTCAAAATTTTCTTAGAAATGCTTACAAATATTTATAAATTATAAAAACATTCGTAAAATATTTAGAATTATAAATGATCTATCACTATCTTGAACATGTCTTTAATATGCCATCGTAAATCAACCATTTTTATGGGAACCATTACGAATGTATGACTAATACGTATATAGGATCATAAATGATAAAATAATATACTGAATTTTAGCCTTTTTTAATGTAACAATCCTGTAACGGTACTTCAGAGTATCGTATGACTGATATACTATAACATATTGTTTATTTAAAAAATCAAATTTTTTAAATACACAAAAATACGCGTATTTAAGTTTAAAAATATGCATTTATATTACATAATCAAACAAATGATATATTAATGGAGATTAATTATATTCTATTATAACGTTAAATAGCCCGATTATTTATGGTATTTGAAAGTTACAGTTGCAAATACTTATTGAATTTTTATTAATTTCATCAATGGCCACCTACATCTTTATCGTACTGCATAATCCGTGTTAATTATAACAATTTTATTAAAAAGAAATAAGCGCCATGTTAATAAATTGATAAGTCTCATAAAACTATATTTATTTTAATATTCATTACAATAATTTTTCACTGGTTAAATAAAATACATATAAAAATAATATTTAAATTAACTTGATTATAAAAAATATTATGCGTATAAAAATTTAATATTATTTTTATATAAAAAGTAAAATAAATTTGTGTAAAGCGATATCTTTGTAATTTAATTTTTACAAAGTAGTACATACATTACATGATTGAACTATTTCATCGGTTTCAATAGCAATTTGAAAATTAATATTTGTTGAATATTAATTATTTTGACAATAAATAATTTTTTTTTGATAAATTTTGATAAAAATAAATTGTGAAATAATTAAAATCAAAATAATAAAATAAAATAAGAGAAGTATTTGCAATATTTCTTCTTAGCATTTTTTATGATACAACCTATACCAATTTAAAAGTATAATTTAAATTATATATGAGTAAATAATGATTGGTGCATAAGAATCTACAAATATATAAAAATTTATCTATAAAAGTATATTTAAAATTTAGTATGAAAAATGATCTATTCTCCTAACAATGAATAAAATATTAATTAAAATCATTAAGTTTATATATTTTAACTTTTAATGTATTCTAAAGTTTATGCATGTTTATAAAGCTTGACATACTCGATCCCATTTATCTTAATAAGGATTTCCATTTTTTATTCTAATACGAATTGGCTCACCAAATCATTTATTATATCTTTAATTTAATATTTAGAAATGATTAAAAAGTAGCCTGCTCTTCTTAGCCGCTACCTCAACGTCATATCATGCGCATACCTTTTGAAGAAAATTAGCATCATTGGCCTCTGAAACCTCGTGAGGCTTGTCGCCACCTATTCACCCTTGCTCGAAACTCGTTAACACGTTCGCATCATCCGAGAAGACATACTCGGTTATAATAATCTATCGATGAATATTCAACGAATTCCGTAAGAGGGGACTACTACCGGACGATAGTGTGTTAGGGTATAGCAATGCGCCAAATAGGAAGCTGAAGAGAAATGGCAAGCTAGTTGCTTAGAATGTGTGCCGTATAGGTGGTTGCTTTGGTGACAGTAGATAGGATGGTGTGAGAAGAAGCCATGGCAGTAGGCATGCCAATTACTCCCTCGATAATTAAATCAACAACGCAGCTAATCAACGTTTACTTCTCTACTGCAGATAGTAGGCTGGGCGCGCATATGGGATAAATAAATCGTGCGATCATTGCTGTGCCTGTCTCATACTCTGTCCCCTCATTGCTGTCTACATGTGTGGTCATTTCACCCCTTTAATATTAAAATTTTATTTTGTTATCTTCTATGGTGAATTTTAAACAAAACATTGAATATATTTTCATTTCCCAAAAAAAATTTGAAATTTTATTTATAAAAGGATGTTTTATATAGAAATAATTAATAATTTTGTAACTTAAAACCATGTATTAAAAATTCTTATTTATATGTTCGATTTTAAATTAATTTTATTCTTTGCAAACATAACCCATTTTTAATGATTCAATCATATTATCAATAAATTGAAGTTATTGTGAATTCAATATTTTAAAATTATTTTGCTGTGTAATTTAAAATAAAATATTATTCGAGTTAAACTATTACAATAATAGTTTTGAATTCAAATATTAATGTCTGATACTATATTTGAATATGGATATACTTACTTTGAAAATGAAAATAATTTGATATCTTTTCAAACTTCAAAATATACTTCTTGCAATAAACATATTAGATTTATTATATTCTTATTTATTAACAAAAATATAGAAAAATATACAAGTCTTTACTTGTTTTCATTCTAGGCGATTCACATTTCATTAAAAATTGAAACCGCATATCTGGATACCACAAATATTTAAAAAAATGAGTGATGCCTATATCCAGGGCTTGCATGGGTATATGTACATACAAGACTATATTGTAGCACAATGTCTTCCGCAAACACGTGGGTTTGGCGCATTTATTCCAGAGGACGTAACAATGGATGAGAGATAGAAAATATCATTTTATGAAAAATATAACTAGATAGTTGAAGATAGTAATATGTATCAGTAAAAAATAAGGGAGAGAATAGTTAAGACAAAGAGAACGCAATGGTATTATAAACCAAAATGAATTGGAGCGCAGGGTTGTAGCAGCCCGGTGTGGCCGAAATTCCTCCATTTACGTGAACCTCGTCTCGAATCACCAATAAAGCCCCTCTACTGTGTATACATTGTCCTCCCTCATTTTCTCTTATTTTCTCCTATCTCACGAGAACTTTTAATACATTTACATTTTCTGGCTGAATAGATATGAAAAAATATTACGGCTAGCATTACCATAATTAATGGAGTCGCCTTTAAACTCTCGTTGGCCAAGCTAATAAAAGCGCTTGAATTTTTCTTTCTCTTACAACATTTATCTTTTTTGTTTAAATATTTAACTTTTATTTTATTTGATTTCGTTTCGTTTGAATTTCAGTTTGTTGGGACTGGATCCCTTGACATTGTACTATTTTCCAATGTATATGCTTGTTTGTCAAGTTCTGTTTTAATTGCTGTTGATGATTTGAATAGTAATATATGTATCGTAATAAGTAAATTATGCGACAAACTGAAACTTTTTCATGAAATAAACATTTGTATACTCTTTATATGCAAACATGCAATTCATTCGAACTTTTTTATGCTTAACTAAATCGAAAATGTTTTTAATATATTTAATTATTACATTAATTGAAGGTTTGAGAATTATATTATTGTAGTCTTCATTATTATCTTTAAATTAATTTATATTTATTCTTGACAGATTAGCCACAAAATATTTTCAACTTATTTTAAACACGTAAGCTGAAGTTTGTATTTTAATACAATTATAGGCATGTAAATATATGCACCCATTTGAATATTTATATATATGCGCACACATATAGATGTACACATAAACATATTTATTTTTCAATTTCTCTTTAACTCACTAAAAATATAATTAAAGATTCATTTAATAATATTTATTATAATTATATAATTTTATGTAAAATAATCATTTAATTTTATTGATAAATACGAATTTCAAATATTATTATTAAGAATAATTTTTCAAAAATTTGTATACATTTTTGATCAGTTTTATATAATAAAATTACATTAGATTTCACATTATTAATTAAACATAAAAATCCAAAAAATTATAAAAAATTAATGTATTTCTAAATAAATGTAGAATTATTTAAAACTAATAATAAGAGTTATTAGTAAAATAAAAAATGTAATAATAATTACTATTATATTTATAACAATATATATTAATATTATTTTATGAAAATTTAAATCTTGAATATTTATATCTCAGTCTCTTTTTTTTCATAAAATACTTCAATTTTTATTAAAACATTAAAAAGATCCTGTAGCAAATTAATCGAAATTTTAATCTCCAAAATTTATAGCATATATTAGCATTATAACATTATATAGATAAAGCTCATATATTTTTAATAATTATTACAGTTACATTAAATTGAAAATGCTGTGCTTCTTCGGAAACATTATATTTAAATTATACAAAAACCGTATTAATTACAATATCGATGTTCTAAAAGAATATTTAAATTATACAAAAACCGTATTAATTACAATATCGATGTTCTCGTTTTATGAGTTTTATGTTTAAATCATTGACATAAATTGTTGAAATTATAAACAACAAAAATAAAACACTCACCTTAATTCGGGCAAGGCGAGGCTCCTCCGCGGCCAGTTTTGCTAGTGCCTGATAATCACCTTGAGATGCTCTTACCAACCATTCACGTGATTTTCCATCCAGTTGTTGCTTTAAAAATTAGATGAAATATTTTAGAAGACTCTTTAAACAATTATAATTTAAAAAAATTTAGAATTCTCTCATTATTATTAAATATATTATGATAAATAATTTAGTTATTATATTAGGAAAGATTTATATTTGCGAGATTAATATTTTATATATTTGCAAACTTAATAAAAGCTAATGGACATTTAAAAGGCAAAAAATAAATAAAGACAAATTTTATTAAAATAAGATTTGATCGATATCACAAACTACCTTTACTTCAAACTGATGAGCTTTAATAAAAAATCATTTAGGTTGTATTATTTCAAAAACATAAATATTTATAATAATTTATCACAATTCTCAAGTTGTATCATGATAACAATGTTGACTGTGTTATTCAAATTAAATAAAAATTTATAAAATCAGTTGTATAACAGTGTACAATAATCTACAACTTCGTTTATATATAAAAATAATAAAAATCGTGTGTAAGCTTTTTTATTTTAATTTTTGTTTTATAATATTACCATTTTTGTAATAATTTTTTTTTATAATTTACTTGAAAGTTCAACTTAAAGTTTATAATTTTAAAAGTTAATCGCATAAAATCGCGTATAACAAAATACTACTCTGCTTCCTTAATTCAATTTACTTGGAGAGGCGTAGCTTATAATGACAGATAATAAAAAGAAATTTCGATAAAGATAATGGCTTGGATGATGATGCTGAACTTACCGAGGCGACGGAAGCTCTGTCATCCTCCTCAGCCCCCTGTGGAGCAAACAAAATACAAAATATAAAATTAACTATCGCTCAAACTCTATAAAAAAAATAAACATGCAAGTAAAAAATTTACATTTCTTTTTTCTTTCTCTTGAAAATTATAATATGGAAAATAATATATATTTACTTAAACCCTTATACACCATAAATCCTATGTAATTTTAAATTATATAAATGGAACCTATATACAAACTTTTAATTTAACGATGATATAAACATTAAAACCCTAAAATTAGTAAGAAATTATTCGATTGTTAACTCAAATACAACAAAAAATAATCTGATATAAAAATTGGCATTTCTTAAAACAAAATGAAAAGTTTAATATGATTCAAATAATAAATATACATAATTAAATTTATTATTAAAATAAATTTGTTTTTATTTAGCTCTATATTTATAAACATGATATTAGAACAGATTAATCACTTATTTTTGAGATATAAAAAATAATTTTAATTGTATTAAGGGTTAATTTTTATTAGAAAATGACTTAAGATGATCTATACAAATAAACATTTGTATAAAATACTAACTTAAAATAAAAATGAATTTACCATGCAATATCAGATAAAATTAATCAATTATATTATTATTTATTATAAATATTATTTTAATAATTTTCAAATTAAAATTATTTGTTTTATATAATTATATATTTTACATAATACATTAAACATATATAAGAGGCTTTAGTTGTATATACAGGAATTTATAAAAGCATATACTTATCTTTAAATTTTTAATTAGTAGTTAATTTTTTCTATTAAAGAAAAAATTGATCAAAAATACAGATTTTTATTGTAATTCAAAAATATAAGATCGTTTAATTATTTCAAAACTATGAATTCAATGACTTTATAATTAAGCATATATTTTTAAATAACTAATTATAATATTTTTATATATGTTTTATTCACAAGTTATAAAATTTCATTTATATATAAATTATAATATATTTATTATTGATTATTGATATACCAACGCAACACACTACAATAATACATAATTTTGTAATTTATAAATAGTAAAAAATTTATATATCAAACTATATTACTATATTACTATATTACTACATTTACACTATAATGTTTATGTAAGATAGATAATAACAGATTAATTTTATTAATTTTAAAAAATTTAATTTTTAATTATTACTATAATAATAAAACGTAAAGTAGAAGTTATCGATGTTACGTGGTTACCCAATTTTCCACTTATCCAATTTTTATATACAAGCTGAATTTAAAACGTATTAATTAATTTTAAAGTATATTTAGAATATTGCAAACAAACAGAACTCGTAGATGAATTTGATATCGTATCAACATAAAATAATATTTCAGGTACAGTTTTCTAAATTCTGAAGTTATATATTATATTAATAAAACTTTATATCTGAATGACAAAAGCAGTCTCAATACAATCTCTAAGGTTCATAGTTTCAAATAAAGCAAGTTTGTTTATGATATAGCTCGTAAGAAACCATCTTCGCTTAATGTTCATCCTAATTGGCAACTACCCACATATGTATGTATACATATATTTATTAGCAAAGCCATATTTATATAATCACTGTAGAATTGCATTATCTTATATAATTTATGTATGCATTTTCGATAAATTCATCCCGACATCAACATTTATTTATTTATTATTTTTACCAAGGTATTTTATGCTTTCTTCATTCTATTTCAGTACATTTACCTCTAAATAGTTCATCTTGCTTTTGTATAGAGATCATAGGTAGCATTATCATTAAAATTATAATAAGTGCTTATTTAGCCAACGAAAAAAATTTTATGTAATGTTTTATTAATTTTATATAATTATTCTTCTTGCATATTGTTTTTCTTTTGATTTCATGGACACTGTTTTTAATTTTTATGTTCTTAATTTTTATTGCAGAATTTTATATATATTTAATTATAGATAAATGAATGACTTTATATTATATTTCTACTACAAAGTTTTCTACTACAACACTAGAAATTTATTAATTAGAAATAATAATTTAAATCTATTATTTACGAAATTCAACTCTATCTGATGAATGATTTCAATTTGATATTTACTTTATAAATAACTTAATAGTTTGAAACGTTAAATAAATAATTGAGCTAATTACTCAACTAAATTGTTAATTATGTTGTTAAACATTCTTTTATTAAACTATTAAAAAACTATGTATAATTGATATATGATAATAATAGAATGTTATTAATACAGCTTGCAAATATAATATATTAGAAACTATTTTTTAGAATACAATCAATAAATTTCTTCATACATTCAAATAAAATGTAAATTACAATCTCATAACCTTTAACTACTAATTATTCAATTTCATTCATTTGGTGGCAGTAAAAACTCTTAAGACTAATTTGTGTTCTTTGTGACTCCCGTTACTTATCGCTCTAAGCAGTTGCACTGCACTATACCATTATAATTTTTTATAGTTGTGCATATGATCATAATCAGACTAAATAATGTTATATTTACCTTGAATTTAAATTTGATAACTATTATCAATATAAGTATACAAAACTCAATTGTATGCCTTATTCTGTTCCATCCAATTATACATTATATTACAAAATATTATTATAATAATTACTATTGATTATTTGAATTTTCTCAATACATTTTGGAAATGTAAAATACTTATAAATCTTAAGATAAATTCTGAACATATAACATTAATACTTTCTAAATAACTAGTGATACCATGTAGAACAAAATTTTGTTGGACAAAAAAATATATTATAAAGGTATTATTTATATTTGTTGTTAAAAACACAATTGCAACTGCAATTTACTATTAAATGGCTAATATAAAATCCAAAGTAAAACAAATTAAAAGTATAAATTTATAAAAAATGTATATAATTTTATTTACCTCCATTAAAAAAATTATCAAAAACTTTCTATTCTAATGCTCTAATTTACAAAGATTTCATACTTGTCAATTTTTTTATCAACTCAGGTTGAGAAAAACCGTTAATCAACCTGTCTACTCGTCGATAAGGAGATTTAAGAGATAAAGACCGTTGCACTGTCATGTTATGCAATATACCTTCGCATTACAAAAGTTCATACATACAGCTTTCTAACTCCATTTTATATTTTTATCTTTTCTCATCAACTAGTGAATACTTTGTCTGGCATTGGATAAATAAATGTTTGTGTACATATATAAATGTCTCATTATTAAAAAAGATGGATGTGAATTGCATAATTTAATTAATCACAGTACATTTGTATTTATATAAATATTTAGGGTAGAGATATTCTGCACATGTAACATTATGCCATATAAAATTATTTGAATTTAGTTTAATATGAGAATAACAAATGCTATTTAATATTTATTTTCAAACCATTCTTTTGAAAATAATATACAAATTATTGATTAGCTAATCATTCATTATATTATATATATATATATATATATTAATCTTATAAACATCTATCGAACATAATATCAAATTACTTTACAATACTTAGCCTTTTAATAAATTCTATACCATTCGATTCTTTAAAAATCTGTACCAATGAAGTTGTTTTGAGTATTGGTAATTATTGAAATTCTTTGTGTCGTGTCAACTATAGTTTGGAACTTATAATAAATACTTTATTCTATTAACTGTTTTGATTAATTTTATAATAAAATAGTAGCAAAATATCATTTAAATATGAACGGTATTTATTGAATGAGAAAAAAAATAAAATCAAAATATCATGGTATTGACAATGGTTAAAAATTAAAGTGAGAAAAGAATACATCGAGCGCGGAAGAGAAAATTATCTGATCCCTACATGACGCTAAACGACTACTCATCCCTGTTAAACTGTATATTTTCATTCGTCACGATTGAAGTATCTCTTATTTTTTATTTAAGGTGCTCACTTTTGTGCTACAAGGCTTCCCTCAAAGCCTCGCCTCTTCTCAACCATTACCATTTATTATATTGCTTCTCTACATTCACGAAAGAAGAATTTCAATCGGTTGATTGCCGAGATATTGGTTGGTTGGATCAATATTTATCCAAACCCTATAGCCCCGCGTGTCATTGTTGTGCGGAAAACGTGAAGCGACTCTGATTGACAAACCCTAAACAATATAGGAACCCCCTGTTAGTGTTAGATGCTGCGCCGTACATATTCCTGTATATATATAGCCACTTAGGCTAGACTATTAAATGTGAAAATTGTGACTAAAATATTATTTTCCACTATAGATGAAAAGTGGCAGATGAATGTCGATCAGTTTGCCAATGTACGTTATACATCAACATAACAATTTAAAAATTTTACATCTGCTTGAATATTTATCAATATCTATAAAATAAATAATTTATTTTTTAAATAGAAACAAATCAAGCATTTAACATAAACACATAATTTTTAATTTTTTAAATTATATAATTTACAATTCAAACATTCATTTGTTTTATTAAATTTTACATTTCTTCATATAATTAAATCACTATTTGATTGAATATGTTCGAATAATTATCAAATATACAATACAAAAAAATATATTAAGAATAAATTGTAAGGTGTGCGTATGTTTGCATAAGAATCAAAATACTATACTCTATAAGATGGAATACTAACTATAAGCTTGACACCTCCGCCCCCCTCCCCGAGCCTCCATGAATGTATATAAGCTACACCTGAGAGATAAAATTAATAGTTGATTTTAAAAAATTTTGAACAAATAGTTCATTTTTAAAAAGTATTGTTTTCCTGAGTATTTGTGAATAATTTGTTAACTGTTATAATCATAAGATCATGTGTACTGAAAAAAATATAAAAGAATAAATGCTTTAAAAATATAAAGTTCCAATTATATTTTACATTGTATCAATACAATTGTTAAATTATTTTTTTTCCTATGATATATTTACTTATTATTGTTAATAGAAACAATATAATGCAATTTATTATTAATATATTAAAATAATTTCAGAGCAATATTATAT